AATGATTCGTTTGGCCCCCTTCATCCATTAAATAGTTTTTTTTTTTTTTTTAGGAGAGGCTGAGTGAGGGCTGCCCAGTCAGGGTTATTGGAGAGCCGTTAGTGATTGGCCATCCCACATATGTCATCAAATATTAATGCTGGAGACTTGGGAGAATTCAGATGACACTGGGATATCAGATATTCTCCCATCAGTTTAGCACTGGGATAGGTAGTCAGGGTCTCAGGAGGGAGCTGCTTTCACAAGAACTACACTACTCAAGGCTGGTGAGGACAGAAGGAAACACAGGCTCCTCCACTGAAGTACAGTCGCATGCTGCACATCTCAGCTTTCTGCTGGTTGAGCTTTTTCTTGCATTTGTGAGGAAATAAGGTGTGAGCTGGTGTTTAACTTTTACAACCGTCACAAACGCAGCGCGGAGCAGGATGTGTGCGAAACAATTCGCGGACCAGATAGAAACCTATTTGAGTCCAGATCCGAACTGGAGTGTTCCAGTTGGTGATCACTGGTCTAGATCTTACCATGTAAAGTGCCTTTACATGATTTTTAGTTGTGATTTGGAGCTATACAAACAAATACAATTAAATTAAATCAAGTATCCTTGGACTAGCACAATTTTAATTGGTTTTTCAGATGCATTTTTGTAATGACACTAACAATTCTTGACTTTAAATAAAGCAGGAGAATGTACCTTTAAATTTACTTGAGTATTTTCTGCCACTGTGATAATTAAATGCAAAACTCAGCTATGTGAGCTCACATTCAGCTCTTTGGCTATCCACTCGCTACTTGACCAAAAAGCTCATTCCCTAAGAGCAATTCAATGTATGCGCTGTCAGACTGGGTGAAGCAGGGCCGTCTCATTGTGTTTCCAGTCCTCATTTCAACACAGAGCCTTTTGAAAAGCCTGCCAGTGCCCCGTCCTTCTCTGCACTAAATGTGTAGGGAGGAGATAGTGCATTCTCATGTTATCTGCCACAGGCCTCTTGCCCCTTCAGCCATTTTCTCATTTCATAAATTTGACCAGGAGGTGACCTTGGGTTTTTAAGTGCTTTTAAGGCAGAGCCAAGACTCCTCTTCCTTTTACCTGTCTCGCAAATGGAGACGAAGAGAAAGAAGGAGAGGGGCTTCCATTCAGGCGTTCTCGTCAGTGGCCTTTCCCACTATTTTCTCATCCTCTCTCATGTCCACAGCCACTCTCCAGCTTTTTTTTAATAAAATAGACATGATGACAGGTTCTTGTCTGCTACATCACATGAGCTGTACTTTTAATGTAGAAAATTGCCTCAGGGGAGAAAAGGCATATGTTTATGACACATGAGGTCAGTCAGGGAGTCGTGCAGACCATTAGCCAAATGTGATATAACAAAGCCCTAATTGAATCTCTTTGCCCTGGAGAGTACTTCACAGTATTCAAATACTAATCACCTTGTGTTTCAGATCTAGGTAAGACTATATCACTGACTGCATCTTCACAACCTCACACAAGGGACGGGGAAGACAAAGACCATATGCGTGTCTGCATGTGAACAGAGGGTGCACACATGTCAAGTGTACGTCCTAGTGGAAATAAGCAGGCACCACTGCAGTCCTCCATCACCATTCCTCCCAAGTGCATCTCTGGCAGAGCGCTAATCTGGGTCAAAGTGCTAACTACTTAGAAAGGCCTGGGAGAGACTCGCTCACTTATGAATCATTTCTCACTCCTCTTGTTCTCATTATGCTCACTGCAACTGGAACGGAGAAAAGGCTTTATATTTCCCTCTGACCTTACACGTAATCATCCAGAGAGAGTCTGAAAATGCAATGGCTAACAAAGCTTCTGTAGCTTCCACCTGGTCAGTTTCTTTCACCATCTCATTCACTGACAGCCACTGACTCGTTCCATTCAAGTAGATCACTGCACAGAGCCTGTGGGCCTCTCAGCAGTTCTCTGTGATGAAGCTGAAGACTGTACATGTTGCCATGTCATCAGCACATTATGTTGTCTGACTGCACTCATTGATGGCAGCATGAGTTCATTCACAGCTATAAAAGACAAGAGTTTCTCCTCTTCAAACCAGTAAGTAGAAAACAAATAGGGAGAGAAATATAGACCGAAATGAGGAAGCACTTTACATTTCAATTAATAACCAGGCTGGATAATAGAAAAGTGGCACAGCCATTTGTTTTGGGTGTTTTGAAGCTCGTTTACTCTGATGGCACAAACTAAATACAGTCACAATGGGTGTGTTCAATAAGACATGAAAGATCATGACTGTGTTTTATCAGCTTAGAAATATTGTGTTTGTTGATATTTGTGACTCTGGTGAAGATCAGATCACATTTCATGACCAAATTATGCAGAAAACTAGGAAATTGCAAACACTGCCGTTACTTTTTCTTGCACCTGTATTTCATGAGAATGTAGTCCAGAAGCTTGCAACACTTGTGCCAGTGCTGCTCTGGAAAAAATAAGCCTTAATACTGATCAGTTGAAAAGCTCGGTTGATGTCTCCAACACATTCTGGAATGAGAACAAGGCGTCTCTCCCTCTATGAGCCTATAAGACAGGGACAGCAGGAGTGTCTGGGAGAGGAGTGGCAGTTTGAAGGTGCTTAGACATATTCTTGTATCAGAGAGTTTGACAGGCTGACTGAGATCATCCGGGTTTTTTAATGCTCCAAGGCTTGTCTTGCACACCGGTTCCTTGGGGGAGAAAGGCTGGAAGTGCCACTGTCACTGGACTGTTCGTTTTTCCCTCAAGGGCCATAGCAGTGTTAAAGGTGGCAGTTGGTGGTGGGCAGCACACGTGGACAGTGTCTCCATAGGGAATGCATCACATTTAGCACGCACGCAAAAACACACACACACACACACACACACACACACACACACACACACACACACTCCACTGTACCACCACCATCACCTCAACACCTCCTTTTACCATTACAGTGAGCGAGCTCAGGCTGCTGACAGCGGTGACAGGCTGAGCACAGGGAGGCGATGGGGGAGGGTGGTGGTGCTGCTGCAGAGGCATCATGGTACATCTGTTTGGATCCTTAGTGCCCTTCTTTTTTTATTGAGTTGAAAATCGTCCAGAATCAAGCCATGACACAAAGAATCACAATCGAATCGACTTGAGAGCTTGTCAAAGATTCTCGCCCCTACAAAGTAAGAGTTTGTGTTGTCACCTCCAATAACATGACTCCTCTGTTTGGAAGATTATCACTGAGAAGATGACAGGTCATCAACCCCAAACATGATTGGCTTTTGTGACACACAGGGTTTACAGGAATCATATGGTGGATTTCCCAGTAGCACAGCTTTCAGGCTTCAGTTTAGCACACTGTGCATTGATAACAGTATCAGACGATTCCCCATCGCATCCCAATAATTAAGATCATTTCCATGTTTCTGTAAGGGACGCAGATGTCTAACAAAGGTCGCTCAGTCTTTGTAGATGACAAGGACTTAGCAAGGTCTTTTGTCTGGCAGGCTGTAAGAATGTGGTAATTGGTAAACTGCTTGGCCAATTTGAGTTATCAACAAAACACCCACTTCATAGTAAAGGATTTATTATTCCGCCCTGCACCACAATTTTGTTATCAACAAAAGCCTCTGTTACTTTCAGCTTTTTATCAAGAAAGAAAATCCATTGAAAGTTGCTGAAGGCCCGACACAAAGCAACTGCTGAATCTCCACAAATCTGCAGGCTTAATTGATTATTCGCACACAGCTGTATATCTACAAGGTGCAGGATACCCAGGGGAAATAATGTAAAACAGATAACAAGATGAAATGTGGGAGAATTACTTTCTGCCCGTTTTATTAATCTTTTCCTGTTTTCTTATTCACAATGAGTTCCCCATCTAGGCTCTCCTATTATTAAAACGCAGCTTCACATTTTAAAAATCGAAAGTTGAGAGTTGATTCAAACCAGTGACAAAGGTGTTTGTTAAGAGATTATTTTGATTTCTGAATAATGCATGGAGGGACTCGGTGTTGTGTACCCCGAGACTCTCAGAGGAGAACACTATCTTCAAATCTCATCTTCATTAATGTGCATTTCTCAGTTCCTTACTGGCATTTAAAGAAATGAATCGATTATGCCAATACTGGTCACAAACATCTTTTGAAGCAATCTATTCAATTTCTTTTCTAATTCAGGTTTGCAGCTGTAACTCCTCAGTCGAGCTCTCTGAGGCATCTTGACATTGTGGTTTCACTTCTGTGGAAGTGACTTTAAAAGAACAACCTTGGAAAAAATGTGAAATTACTTGGCTCGTGTTTGTGGCATGTCAGTGCCACTCTGCTCAATCCTATACCTTTTCCTCCCCATTTACTCTTCACCTCATTTTCACAGAACTCGATAAAAAAAAGAGGTATCGCTGGCATGCAGGAGGACTGCTTGGAGTCGGCAGCAATCAAGCCATTATGAATGGAGAGGGAATGTAGCACCTTTTGTTTTGCTTTGTTGTTTTTAGTGTGATATAGAATTCTTGGCATTAGGCTGCACATCAGGCCAGACCATAATTGCCTCCTCCTCACTGGGGAGCTCCTTGTTTTCCATTTGAAGCCTGGCTCTGTCAGATTTCACCATTAAAGAGAGGGGGGCAGCAGGAAGACAAATCCTGGATCATTCATCTCATACAGTATGAGCTGCCAGAGAGACATGGAGGACGTTGAGCTTGCTAAGGTACTTTCTGCCTAGAACACAGAAATAGTTCAAAAATAAAACATGTTTTAAAACTTCGCCCTACTTTCTTAAAGATGCATCTAGTGTTGAAACAATCAGAAGAACAACAGACCGATAAATTCAACATGTAATCAAATACAGGATTTGCTGATTTTCTATTTTTTATGGTAAATATTAGTTTTGGACCATCTCTCAGGCAAAACGCACTGTTTGCAGGTACTACGTGGGTCTCTCTGAACTTGCTATGGGTGTTTTTGCAATTTTTTGACATTGTAAAGACTAAATGATTCAACAAAACATTGTAATGTATAAAAGCACATTGAAAGTAGTTAGATGCAGCATTAACAATAGTAAAGCCTTTTAGTTGTAGGATCTGGCTGATGGTGTTGGAGCTCATGCAGCCTCTTGAATTTGATGCTCATAATTGTACCAGACACTGTGGTAACGTTGGGAACATAAATTTTTCATCTTTATTTTGAGACTAGTTTATACAGAGCTCATCACATAATTTTCCAATTCCTTAGTTTCACATTTTCACTCCCTTATGTGCTCATCTTTCTGCACAGCAACATAATAACCATCAGCATGCTGTGACGTCAAGGACTGATGGGCAGAAGATTTCCAGCTGAGAGCCATTTCCAAAGCCCAAGGCACTAGTCATGGTGCGATACAACCAGGCAGAGTAACTTCATCTTATTTCTTTCAACTTATTAGGAATTTCAACCAAGGAGGGTGCAACTGTTTGTTACAGCTAAATAGTAAAAACAGCAACAACAAAAAGCAAAGTATATTGACTTAAAAATTGCCAAACTTGAGAAATCTTAGCCACAGGATTGAAAGTGTAATTGAATTAGTGATGTTGTAGCGGCTGGTGCACTCGGCTTTTGTTGCCACCAAGCTCCCTTTATGTCAGCCGAGCAGGATTTTAACCTTGTTCTGAGAACATGGTTTTGACAAAGACTTTGAGACGGACAGCCGTTATGAGTTAAGTGCACAACGGTCTGTTGGGCAAAAGTGAGCAGCGAGGCAGTGCTGTGGCTTATTTGGTTCAGTTGACACACACAGTGCATAATGGATATTTAATAGCCCCAGCCTGCTGGAAGTGGACTGTGTCCTGAAGTGGTGCATCTGAATGTGTGACTACCAGGAAGACACACCCATTAAAACACACTGTCATTCCTACTCTGGATTCATGCCACAAGAATAAACACAACAGCTACTACTGATAATCCCCCACTAGGGATGCACATTCTCAAGTTTTTGTCTGACCGATAGCCGAGGCTCGTTAACCGACTATTAACCGTTAACCGACAAGATTAAATTGATAAGCTACTTAGAATTGATGAGTGCCTCGCACGTGGAACTGTGTGTGAGGGAGTAAAACAGCCTAATAAAGTAGCTTCTGTGAGCCACTTTATTTTAGGCATGTATGATATCATATTAGATGCAGGCCATGAATGTTAACTCCTTTCAAAGTACAGTATTTCTGCATACCGGCCAACTTCGAGCACTGAGATTAAGAGAAACACACACTGCAAATCTCCAGCACCAAGAGCGCTGTAACAAAACCGCCTCCTCTGCTTAATAATCAAAATCCCAACAGGTTAACAAAACAGAAACTTGTAGCCTACTGGTTTTGTTCAGAAACTGCAACATGCTGTGGGCTTAGTCCGTTTACTGTGAGACCCACGGTGGAGGACACCCGGTCCGACGGTACCGAAATCTGAGGAATGCAAAGATAGCACCACACTAGTGTCCAGCCTGGGGAAGTGTGTCTGATTAGCTTTCCATCACACCCCCCATGAGTTGATATGTGGGCCCAGCAGATTGTTTTAAAAAAAAATGTAAGTGTCTAACTGATAGCATTAATCAGTTGGAACTCTTATTGCTGGTTAATGGTTAAGACTATGCATCCCTAATATCCACATAAACCTATTCCATATCCTAGCATATCCCAAGAATACACAGTAGACTGGAAACAGGGGTCATTAAGTTTTAGGTGTTCTGCCTTGCATCTTAGTCACAGTTAAATCTGGGGTACCAGAAGCAAGCATGTTTCCCAGCTGCGCTTCTGGCAGGATAGCCATCCCATACTCAATTACTGAAATAAGAGAGGCTCCTCGCATCATCTCGTATCATCAGGATAGACACCCAAGTCTCAGAGATTCTGAGAGATCAACTCTCCCCCAACATGAAAAAGAAGAGTTGTTTAATTGCATCTCTCCCACTGGAGAACACAAATAATTCCAGTTAGTTTAACAGAGCTTATGTTTGAGCAAAGGAGAAAGAGCTGCTGCTGAGTTCTCACAGTAGAAGATGAGGCAGGCACTAAGAAGGAAGAACTACCTGAGGTGTGGTGTCAGGAAGACTTCTGTACTTGCAGCCATCGGCTCAGATTCCTCCAGAGTGACCCTAATGATTGCTCTCACTATCACATTGCACTCAGCTTTCTCCAGCAGAAATTTACTGCAACATGCCATGCATACAGTGGAGACAATGATATCTATTCTGTGTCTGCAGCCGTTCTGTAATATTAGAGTAACTGAGTCTGCGTGTCAGCTGTGGCCGGAGGCATCATGTTTTTGGAATGTACGTCCCATTCTCATAGACATGGCATCTCATAAATGCCTTGAGGGGATTTATCCAACTTTAAACATGCATCTACAAGGTGCAGCGGAGGGATGCGTTTGAGTAGTCGCGTGTAGGTTTTGTTAACGGAACCGGATTTTTACTCGTGTTACACACAGAAATGCAGTATAGGCATACATGTATGAATATAAACATATAATCAACATCGCCACCTGGTTATCATCATATGCCTGTGGGAGGTATCATGACGTACACTAACATTTGTCTCTACAAAGCAGAGCCAAAGAATGACTATCACACTGTAGCCTAGGTGAACTGCTGACTGTCGTCAGTGCAGCCGTTTTAGGAACAACATATTACACATATGTAACTTTAGCTCGGGTGATTGATAAACAAGACATTTATTTGCACTTACCCCCTTGTCGTTGTGATGGCACAGCTGTGCCCTGTAGTTTCTTTGCTACTGTGGAACTGGCCTCCGGATATATGTAAACTCTCTCAGCTTTGCAAACGGTGCATGCATGTCCATTTTGACTGCTATTAGCCACAACTTGGTCCTTGCAGGATCTCTTAAGGGAAGTCTGTGAAATGCTCTGCTTGATTCTTTCAACACCCTGGATAAAAGCAGACACAAACCATGTTTTAGTTAACACAAGGTGCAGAGAAGGCAGGAAGGAATTTGCAGAAGAAAAAGCTGGAACAACTCTGAGATGTGATTTGTGCACAAATATAAGCCAAACACAGATTGGGGCCATGTCGTACTGGTGTCTCAAAAAGCCAAACTGCAAAAATACTCCAGCTATCAAATCTGCAAAGTACAAACTCACTTCCAAGTTAACTCTGCTGATACAGTTCTACAGAGGAGTCACTGAGTCTGTTCTCTGCTCATCCATCTCTGTCCTGTTTGGTTCAGCAACCAAACAGGACAGGAACAGACTCCAACAGACTGCAGAAAGATTCACTTTTGCCAGCCTGCCCTCCATGGAGGACCTGTACACCTCACAGGTCAAAAGGAGGGCAGAGAGGATTTCTGCAGACCCCTCACACCCTGGACACAAACTGTGTCCTCCCCTGTGGACAGCGTTACAGGTCACTGTACACCAAGACAACCAGACACAAGGACAGTTTGTTCCCCTGGGCCATCGCTCTGATGATGAATTAATCTATGTTCGTCTGTGTAACAGAATACAGCGAACTCCCCCAGTGCAATAATTTGTAAATATAACCACTGTACATATTGACCTGAAAGACCTTCTGCCAAAATGGGCTTATATACAGTATGTATAGATAATCATAAATAAATTGTCTCTTCTATTTTTCCCCCTATGTTCTATCATATTTGACGGGACATTTTCAAGTTTGAATGTATTTTCTTGCTCTCTAACAAAAGCACATTGAGAGCCACTGTACCAGAGTCAGATTGCTTGTGTGTTTAACATACTTGGCCAATAAAGCCGATTCTAATGCAATTCTGAATGCCATAAAGACAACAACAAACCTACGCACAACTACTATAGCAGATCCCTCTGCCACAGCTGGGCAAGAAACCACTATCCTGGGAAATTAAAGACAGAATTTGTCTGAACAGACTGACAGCTGAAGCTTCAATGTGGAGAGAAGGAAAAGTTACAACTAAGACCTGTTCTCACATACATTGTTTTACCATCAACTTCAAAGAGCCTTTAAATACTATGGCTTAAAGTTTGTAATTGGGATACTAATAAGAACTGAAAACATAAAAATTGCAGCTATTTACCATTTACAACTAAAGCAGATTTGTTCATATAATATATTCTCTTGGTTTGTTATCCTGTGTTGAGTGTAAAACTGAATAGGCAGAAGTGTACTGTACAGTTATGTATAACAGCTCTGAATGTCATAATTAGTGATAATTGCCAGCCACATTAAAACACACTGAGATGAAAATTGTGCTGAACAGGCTGTGGCTATATTAAATTCAGTTTTCAAGTGAGCACAAACGGGTATTGACTGGCTGAATCCCACGTGAGGCTGACTCTGGGTGCGAGTGATCGATGTGTGTGTCACTGAACTGAGATTCGAAGTAGTATGTAATCTATTAAGCATTTGCTTTGCAGCAGCTGAACAAAAGCACATCCTGATGGCTAATTGCTGGCAAAGAAAAGACCGACACCGTTGTTACATCTGAAAGCAGCTACTTCTGCTGCTGGAGTTTATGGGCTTTTTCTCCTTCAGTCTCAGTCATACGGGTGCGATGAGGAGTTGCCAGCCCTGCTGTGACTGAACTTGATGCATTATTGCTGTTTATAAGTCTCCTGATATATTTATCTGACAGATGATAATTAGCTGTCAAGATGGGAAAGACTTGTGATCTCTTTTCAATGGACCACAATTCTGAAACGAAGTGAACTGAGCTGAATATTGGACTGGCTTTCCCCCTGTGAGTTAAGGTGGCCTGTAACCTGCAAAAAGAAAAAGTCACAGGCTGTAAACTTTGGCTGCATTCATATTACAGGCCTTAATGCTCAGTTCTGGTCTTTTTTTTTGCTGATGATTCATATTCACGACATGTTTCCAGCTCCAATTTAAACTGCCACGCACGCGTAGATTTAGCTGAAATGTAAGCTGCATACTTACAAGCACACCACAAATCAGGACTTGGGTGCAAAAGTCAAATCACACAATTATCTCAAGAACTGCTTTGGCTTGAACAGAAGCATCTCCATAAATGCCCAACAAATCTGAAATGTCCCCGTCTCTGCTGACATCCATTAATGTTGTTGCTCTCTGCTGCTTACTTTTTTTGGGGTTTGTGAGGGGCCGACACAGAATTATGACGACAGCCGATATATGCAGAGGAGTGAGACATTTTTTTAAAAAGAAAACTACACGAATTTTGATCTAACAGTGAATGCACAGTCAAAGATTGAACATGAATCTAATCTAGGACCACATATGGATGTAGCCCACAACGGATCTGAAAAAGAAATCTAATTTGGTTTGTTCACACATCCATGAAAAGAGCGATACAATTCACTTGAAAGGGAAAAAATAAAAAAAAAATCTTATGTTGGTCACGTCAGCATGTAATGTGAACCTAGCTAAAGACGAGTAAAAGCGGGGAGAAGAGTCTCCTTTTGAACATGGCAGCATAAAAAAATGAAAATGTTTGCGATCAACAATAGTGCCAACCTTCATCATTGAACAGCCATGAATACCGGTAAGCTGGGGTATGTGGATGCATGAAACTAATTCAGCTTCCACTTGGCATACATTTCCATTGGTTTTAGGAAAGAAACTCGTTTGAGTTACATCAATTGTGCATAATGTCTTGGAGTGGTTCGCTCACATGATTCAACTGTCAGTAGATATGGTCTGCCCCTTTCCCAGGCTCATTATCTTTCCCTTTTTCTCTATCACACATCATTAGAAGCCTGTTGAAGAGTAATTATGATGCTAGTAGAAGATAATCACGTCATACATGGTGGTGTGGTCTGAAAATGAATTCCCCCACAATCTGTTGTTGCTTGATATAAAGACAAATTATACGCATGCAGCGCTTTAAGATGACAACGTGCAAAACAAGGCAGCCTAACAAGTCTTTTCTCTTCTCATGCAGATCCCAGTGAACGCGTGTACAGCATGAGGCTGGTGTGGAAATCCCTGGACAAGATGAGGTGTCTGAGGAAACGCTCCACTATCCCCTTCCTCGGCTTCCTCATCACATTCCTCCTCTTCCTGAACCTCTACATTGAAGACGGTTATGTGCTGGTTAGTAAACTGCTTTGTTCACATGAATTACATTTATTTTTTGTCAATGTTATTAGCTAGCAGGTTAGAAATTTAGATTAAGGGGCCCTGACATCCAAATGGTTATGGGGTGTGTGTCGCACATGCCAACAAGTTCTACGACCCATATGGTCATTTGTCCCTTCACTACCATATGATCCATAGGGGCATATCATTAAATAGTGCTCCTACAGTCACGGAAGGAATTGCAACAATCCCACCAAAATTAACGACAATGTACGTCACACTGCCAAACTTTACAGACCTTTGTTGGCATGGAAGCAGCCATAAACTAGATGACTAGCTAACTTCGTTGCATTGGAAACTGTCATAACATGATGCTACAATCATGAATGGCCACGTTTTTATTACGGTTTACCACAAAACTACTAGGTTAGGGCTAGACACAAAAACTACTTTGTTACATGTGGGGAAAAATAACTTTTTCACATTTAGAAACAAAACCATGATGTAATGTTTAGGAACAAAACCTCTTGAAAAACAAGCCACACAGCAAAATGGAAGTCAGGTCTCCTGAAGGAAGGTCTGGTACTGTATGTACCTAGCCATCCACGCAAACCTCCTCCTAATGCTGACTTTGTGCCTCTACATAAATGACTTTCCTCATGTTATAATAATAGCAGTCTGAGATGTTACCCAACTATGACACAACATCTTGTCGTAATAACTTGCTGGCATAAACGACATATACTGTCATATTTCACAGTAGGCCAGCCATGCAATGTCAGCAGTTTGAGTCTGGCCACTGACATCTGTTGTAGGTTTCCCCTTCCCTCTACCCATTTTCCTCACTTCCTGCTTTCTTCCATGTGACTTACTGACTAATCAAGGCAAAAATTTGCCCCCCCCCACCCAAAAAAAACTTAATAATTCACTATGTATTTGTAGAGCTTCTTGATTTTCTTCATAAATGAATTCAACCACATAAGCTTTTGAAACCAAATGTGTTTTGTATTTGTTCACTACCACCCATGTTGTTCCAATTATAACTCCTTGTTTTAAAGGAAACCTATTTAAATTTTCATAACATGGATTCAAGTTGAAATCATCCAGATTTATTTCTTATTCATGATGCCATCAAAACCTTGTGATCATAGTACATTATCTATGTTTGTTTATTAAATTATTAAGAGGGGGTTCACATTTTCCGCTCTCCGGTGCTCTCCTCACGTCCATTTGCTCAGCTATTCAAACTGCCTGGAGGGGTTTTAAGATTCCTTTTGTCTCCAGACATTGAGGGTTACACTGCCACATCAAACCACATGTTGTCTCAAGTTTGTACAGAATGTGGTTCTAAGTAAACGATAGGATGGTTTTCTCTGCATTATTTAGAGTAGAAACAGAAAATTTGAAGATCACTTTCTTGCTCTTTTTCTGTAGTATTTATGACAACTTACAACCATTTTCCCTCTATTGTTCATAATATGATGTAATGTTGTGTTTTTTTCATGTTGTATTCCAGGAAGAGGATAAAAGGCAACTTAGGGAAACATCAGTCCACCCTCCAAGCTCAGAACGATACGTTCACACCTTCAGAGACCTAAGCAATTTCAGTGGAACCATTAATGTCACATATCGTTATCTTGCTGGAACGCCACTGAACCGCAAGAGTAAGTCTAGAGTTTCTTTAAAGAGGGATTTACATTGACTATTTTCATCAGCTTGGGGGAGTTACTGTACAGTACAGTAAGTCATAGTCATGAAAAGGAGCTGAGAATAAGAACTTCCACTTAAAATCTATGAAGTTTGAATTTAAATCACAGCAATAAAATGTAACTGCTCCACAGAGACTTCTTTAGTTTGAGATTAATCTGTGTGCAGAACTCTTCTCCAGTACAATGTGCTTTGTTCACAAAATTCTTATTTTGATTTTTCTATAAAACTGCATTTCATGTTAAATATTCCAGACATTGAAATGTAGCTTTACTTTGCCATAATACTCTTAACTTAATGTCCACTTAGTAGCTTTTACCAGAGCTTTAAACCATGTGTTCAAAGCAGATGGACTTTGCTCAGTTGTCATCATTTGAAATAAATGTGGCCATGTGGTAATACAGTACGTGCTTCTATATGACGATATGCTGATGAATAGCAAAGCTCAGGAAACAGTTTGTAAGTGGACCTTGTGTCAAGATCATTTTGTCAGACTGCTCTTCCCAAGGTCGTGTACTTTACTTTTAAATTACAGGTATAGCTTAATTAAGTTTTTTGTTTAAAACTTCTTAAACCTGTCATTTAAGATTAATGCTTTATTTTGTTCACAGAGTATCTTACCATCGGTCTGTCGTCAGTCAAAAGAAAGAGAGGAAACTACCTCCTGGAGACGATCAAATCCATCTTTGATCAGTCCAGTTATGAGGAACTGAAAGAGATTGTGGTGGTGGTCCACCTGGCAGACTTTGACCTGGTCTGGTGTGAGAATCTGGTGCAGGAAATCACCAGGAAGTTTGCCCACCACATTATAGCTGGACGCCTCCTGGTGATCCAGGCTCTGGAGGAGTACTATCCGTCTCTGGATGGGTTGAAGAGGAACTACAACGACCCAGAGGACCGGGTCCGTTTCCGCTCTAAGCAGAATGTGGACTACGCTTTCCTCCTCAACTTCTGCACAAACCTCTCTCACTTCTACATGATGTTAGAGGACGACGTGCGTTGCTCCAGGAACTTCCTAACGGCTCTGAAGAAGGTGATCACCTCCAGAGAAGGTTCCTACTGGGTGATGCTGGAGTTCTCCAAGCTGGGCTACATCGGGAAGCTATACCACTCCAGAGACCTGCCCCGCCTGGCTCATTTCTTGCTCATGTTCTATCAGGAGATGCCCTGCGACTGGCTCCTCATTCACTTCAGGGGTCTGCTGGCCCAGAAGGACGTGATTCGCTTCAAGCCTTCGCTGTTCCAGCACATGGGCTACTATTCGTCTTACAAAGGAGCAGAGAACAAGCTGAAGGACGATGACTTTGAGGAAGACTCCATAGACATTCCTGACAACCCTCCTGCCAGCCTTTACACTAACATCAACGTCTTTGAAACCTATGATGCCACCAAGGCGTACAGCACCGTGGACGAATACTTTTGGGGGAAGCCTCCTTCCACTGGAGACTTCTTTGTTATAGTCTTTAATAAATCCACTAAAATTAGTAAAATTAAGATTGCTACTGGTTCTGACGATCGGCAGAATGACATTCTTCATCACGGAGCTCTGGAAGTTGGAGAAAAGCTAGTTGGGACTAAAAAAGGGAAACAGTGTTCCTCCTATATCACATTAGGGGAATTTAAAAACGGCAACATTGAGATTCAAGATGTAGATCACAAGATTGCCTTTGACATTGAGTGTGTACGCATTGTGGTGACGGCCAGTCAGAAAGAATGGCTCATAATTAGAAGTATAAGTCTATGGACTACACAACCCCCCAGCCAATGAGAACTACACACAGAAACTCTCAATATGTCAGAGGCAAAAGGTTTTTATTATTATTATTTACTAATGTGTTTATTTCCAGGTTTATTTATTAATTTTCTATGTATTTATCAATACTTCTTTTGACTACCAAATCAATCTATAGTTTCTTTTATACCTGTAAGCTGTATCCTTAGTGGAACATCTTCCCAGTCATTCTTAAAAACTGTTCAACAGATCTCAGAGCATCCATGAACACACATTTTCTTAAATTTTCCATATTTCAATTTTTATTAATACAGCCCGGTCTCACAGCAAAATGCACAATGGCTATGTTGGTCCACAGCATAAAACATAGCAGTGTCACAATAACAGCTGTAAAACTGTGACATGGCAACGTTTGTTGTATTGCAGCCAAGTGTCCTTCATTGTGGTCATTAAAGCAGGAAATGACCAGTGGTGGAAGTAGTACTCAAATTGTTTACTTAAGTAAAAGTAGTCATACCACAGTGCAAAAATACTCTGTTACAAATAAAGGTCCTGTATTAGCAGAAAATATACCTAAAGTACAAAAGTAGAAGTACTCATACAAAATGGCGCAGTTTATACTAATGTACATTTCCTACCCTTAAGCATACAGGATAGTCTGTGTGCCTAAACTTATAGTAATCGTGTAGTTTAGTTTCTGTGCCTAAGCATAACCATTTTTGAACTAGAAAAACATTGCAATGTCACAGTTTTTAAGGTGCTACTGTGAAAGCAGTGCATTTTGCATTGCAGACAAAGTATCTATGATACATTTTGCTGTGAGACCGGGCTGTTTAATAGCTATCCTTCCCACAGGGCTGAGGGGATAATTCAGTAATGTGTCATTGTTATATAAAGCTTGTTTTACCAATGAAAGGATACGGCTGTCAAATACACCACATCTTTATTAAAACATCACCAGACTTTCCCTGTTTTTTTTTTTTTTTTTTTTTTTCCAGGCTGAAATATTAATTACAGAACTAAATGTGTATTAATCTGTGCTCAATATTTCCCTCCTGTTTGAGTAACATTTGCTACAGCCCCCAGGTTTTTGATGAAACAAAGCCTTTTAAAAAAGAAAAAACTACTTTATATTCATAGCACTTTTTTTTGTTTTCGGCAGGAATGACTGGGCTTGAACCTGAGTGGCAGAGACAGGGTAGGGAAGCTGGAAACACGTCAGAGAGCACTTTTGTTTTTGGTCTTTTCATGGTGCTGGTGAACAATAACATATAAACTGAAGAATCATAGCAGTCTTATCCTTTAAGTTAAATATAACCACTGCACATGAGGAATGAAGACAGAGGGAGCTCCCTTAGGGAACAGTGAACTATTGATTTACTACGGTTTTACTAATTTCATTACATTCGACCACCACTGCTGCTTTTCTTAATATTATGAGCCACTAATTATTTATACATGGGGGTGGGGGGTAAGTTATTATATAGTGTGGCTACATTTTATTTAGAAACAGGTTCTCCTTGAAACTACCAATCAGTTAAAGTTATTGTCTTCAGCAGCTTTTCATGACTGATTAAGCCTTCACATGTAGCCCTGGAATTTCTCTTTGAGAGCATCCCCATTTGGCCCTTAATTATTTTCCCCCTTGAAAACCCACAGGGAATGTATCAGAGGTCATTGTTGCCTTGATTATTCATCATTTCATACCCAGCTTTTTCTGTTTCAAATCTTCGTTCCCGGTCTAATTATCTGCTTCGTTGCTGTTGTTGAGGTGGATGTAGGAGCAGGCTTTCCTGCGCTCACACTGTATGTTCTGTCCCGGCTGCTGACAGGAGAACAATGTTTGTTTTCACCCATCTTCTCCAAGAGCCGAGATTGGATTGCACAGTGAAGAATGGGTCAGGTCTGCTACAAGGTCTCTGTTTTCCCACCACTGCACAATTTTCCTCTAGTAAATTGGTCTGTTTGCCTCACTCTCTACACCAGCAAAACAACATCTCCCCTGAAGCTGTAAGAACTCAATTCGTTCTTTCCCCAGTCTCGCACTCACACAACTCCAGTGCTTCTGCTCCTACAAGGGTGCCTCTCTGTGATCTTTGCTCTAGGTTCTTACACTCTGCTGCTGCTGCTTTGGGGGAAAACTTGCTTGGCTTTCCTTTATAGATCCTTTTCAAGTTCCCAGCCTGCCTCTGGGCTGTTAAACTGCTAGCATTTGTGAGAATTAACACTGCACATGTTAACTCATCACCATTGTGCTCAAAGCAATTCAGAGCCGTGCTTTAAGAATGGCCTTGGCATTTTCCATATTCATGTAATTATGATCCATCAGTGAGCAAATTCCAGTGACAGATTAGCTTCTTCACTGAAACAACATCAAGAAGTCACTCAACAATGCAATAAAGAGATAATTGTTTACATAACACTGATCTTCAGGAACGAGAGGTGGAGGAAGCAGATTGTCATTAAGCATGCTGCAACAGTTTTGTTAAGCTCTGTTCCACTGCTGTGACAACCACCTGTTCCATGTTTTCCCTCAAGGTCTTGTTCAGTGTTACTGATCGAGACCTTTCGCAGACTGACTTGTACCGCCACCTTAAAATCCATCGTCAGCAAATCCCCCATGTGCCATCTGAAATTGAATTAAAATGCCCACCACCTCACAACATGGCTCACCGCTTTTCCACAGCATTTCCCTTGAAACGCCCCTATTCGTTTTGGTGAGTGATTCCGTGACCTGCATGGATCAGCTCTATGGAGAGGATCTTGTTTGAATGGATGATGCTCAGAAACACAATCTACATTGTGCTGTGTGTGTGGTATTCTTTATGACACACACCATAGTAGCAGTTCTCCCCAGTATTACCTGCTTAAGAGCTCTAACCACAAAAAGTCATTGCAGAGCAGTTAAGCTGTTTAGATGGATTTGATACGCCTCATGTCCAAGTAGAGCAACCATGATGTGAGACTGAGATTTGTGGAGGACAAATTTCTGTCTGCTATTTAACTGAAACAAAACACTAGCCAAAACTAGTTGCACACTGCAGATTTACATCTGGAGGACAGCAACAGAAGCTGTATAAATTCCTTTATCTGCCGCACACAGCATTCTTTATTGGTAGCATATTTGGGAAGTACGACTGCTTAAAAACTGTTATTGCCTCCTGCTCAGTACTAAACTACAATGCTAACCAATGCCCAACTTCGCTGTCCATTTGTCAAGAGTTAAACGGCAACTGCATCAACAGACCTCTGTAAGATAAAGGGCTGAGGCTTTTTGATCCCTTGTGAATGTCTGATCCCCAAAGCTCACAGGAAGTGATAACTGTTAATATGATCTGTGGGTCCTAAGTTATTTGAAATGGGAGCCGTCTTCCGGTGGAGCATGTACAAAAGTGCATGAACAGAAGCATCTTCAGTGGATAAAACTACTTTTGTACGTCAGGATGTGTGAATTAATTGTTCAGCTTTTGAAATTGTACTGGGTTCGTCTGTAGAAGCCTACCAATACTACCTTACAACAGGCTGGAGTTCACATGTGCTGTATATTGTCAAGTGGAGCGAGTGTGTTATGTTGTTTCTGTGTCTGTTTTACTTTCCGTTGTTCTCTAAATGGTACTGTATTGTAAGATGACATATATTTTTTTAAACATATTACACATTTCCAATGTTGTACTGTATATATTGCATTTAAAATGAAATCAGATTAAACAACTGAATGACCACTTTGTGGTGCATTCACTGCTGAGACAGAGCTGTATGCAAGTGAGCACAAAACGTGTGGCTGCAGCAACAGAGCTCGAAAATGTTTGAATGCATCTAGGAAAACAAAACAGTATTTACATAACCGTTAATCAAAAATGGTGTTGGCCTGTCTGTGCCTAAACATGTTTTGTTTCAGTGTTAAAGTTATATACATGCATGCATGCATGGCACACATTTTAAATAATAAT